ATTTTTCATTTTCAGGGTTGTGCACCCCTGACTTTAAATTAAAATATCTTTAAAACCGTCCATTTTAGTGGTATAAAAAGTTATACGTTTTTTAATCGAAATTGATTACTCTTTAGATTTAAGCAACAAAAAATTAGTGTTAAAAGGCCAAAAAACAGAAAAACAGAAAATGTGACCTGCAACTACTGAAACCGGAAATTGAGTAGATGTATCGTATTACTATTACTAGCCTAAAGAGTATGTTCTCGCAAGTAACTATTCCAAATTCTATAATATTTGGTCGAATGGTTCCAAAGTTATTACAAAAAAATAAATTTCTACACCCACATTCCGAGGAATGTAAAATTCTTATCAATAGAGATCGGACACGAGTTATTATTTAAATTAACATCATTATATAGGTCATTTTTGAGGTTCAAATATTGCTTGATATTTATGAATAACCCTATATTTACTTAAAAAACAAAGTGATACGATAATTATCGTAGAGTGTGTATTTTGGGCGAATTTGAAACAAAAATAGTGACAAATAAAAAACCTAAATGCACTTTATTTGATAAACCCTAGTAGAATAAAAATCAATTTTAACATTGGTTATCCTTGCATGCAGATTGTCCTATTTACATGTAAAAACACGTTTAAACTTAGTTAACACTGTTTGACATTACCGTTACAAGATGATATTTCAGTGCAAATAATTTTTTTAAATTAAAACGTTGAAACTTCCTCTTTTTTAATTTCCTTACAAAACAAGTTCATGTAAATAATTAGGCAAAAATAAAATTTTTGGTGCAAGTGTTTAATGTTTAAATAGACTTCGTCCTCTTTAGCTAGCTGAGGGTTGATGAAGTCGGCCAAAATCGCGGTAATAACTGCCGATAAATACACTTGTCGCTCGTCAGGGGTTGTTTGTAGGGCGTCCCGTTGGGGTTTGAGCATTTCGGGGCGCCTCACCGGGACGAACCTGAGAATTTGACAAAAACTATTTGTCTTGATGTCAGATTCGTCGTTGTGTTTTTATCGCGTCGCGTCTCTGGAGAAATTGCAAACGTCGATTTATTTTTTTCAATTTGCGGTTACGACGCTTTCCATATCATTCCGGAGTGATAAGTGGAGGGTTTATAAAGAGTGTAAAAAGAGTAGCACCAGATTGGCCCCGATGCAAGTACTTTCTGATATTAGATATTAGCCGGCACTCGTCGAGGGGAACGAAGAGCAAAGTCGACCATTGTAAGGGCACTCATTGTTGGTAGGGTTGTCGACGTGAGGATCGGTGTGGATTGTTGTACTTAGCATGTGACTAAACCTCCGTATCGCCGAGGCGTTATCACGCGAGGATATGGGATATCCTGGCAATAAATTATCCTGAATTGTATATACGGGGGACTTTACCCATTCCAGACTTCATTATACCATTGACACATGCATTTGTCATGCTTAGGCCAGCCGGCACGCAATAAAAGATGCACACATTGGGATTAAAGCCCGATCCCGAAAACAATAAGGGATCAACAGGAAATGCATTTATTTAATTATACAGATGGATGAGTCGGGGCGGTGCGACCCTCCGCGTGATTCATTTCCACCAAATCTCGATTTCGTATTAAGATATCAAAAGTTGAGCTACGGTTCCCACAAGTCCGACACTGGAAAATATGAATTTATTGCACATATCTATGGTGGGTGGCACTCCTCATGCTCCTTGGACGGATCGCGACTGCTCACGACTCGTGAGATATCGGCATTAAGTAATGACCACAACACGATCACGGTCACTGTAATTTGTTGAACTCGATACCTTGACTCGATTTAACCAGCTACTAATAATGAAGAAGTAATAAATAACACCACCAAATTTTCGTAGCAAAACTCGATATATCAAAATGGAGGTTTCAGAGATAATTAAATTGGCAAAGATCGGATCGTTTGATGGGGCAGAGTGCACCAAAGTCGTGGTTGTGCCTCTCAACATATCTCGATCTAAGCCAAGCACGACGCGAACCTTCACAATGCCACTTTTGTAATTACAGAAACTTCCACTAAACTACAGATAAAATATCGGAGATACCGTAACACTGATCTCTAATCAGCTGATAGTTGGATGAGCCAAGAACCGGCTCTCTTCAACCGGAAAACTCGCCACCATTTGTAATTACGAGGGAGAGACTCAAAAGGTCATCGATGGGAAGAAATCAAAAATTCGATATAATTCATCTCAATATTTAAATAATAAAAGGTCACTAAACTTGAAACAATACCATAACGTGGGAGGTGATGAAAACAAATGGTACATTTTCGGCCTACCTTCAAGGCACAAAAACACATTTTTTAAGCGCGAGCGACCATCTGCTGAAATTTAGTCAAAATTAAGGAAGAGAAAATTCGTTTTTCGGTTAGACGATCTATCATATTTTAACTTGTCATCATTACAAGCCGATTTATGGCAAAAAATTTCAAATTTCGAGAGTGCTTATAGAGTGACAAATTACATACAAAAATTAGTATTGGTATTCCACGTCGTTCTTTTATTGGCCCCATTAATAATCCGGAATTCATTTAAATAAGTAAATTAATATTTATTATGCAAAATGAGTATATTAATTTTATTCCAACCTTTAGAATTTATTACAGAGAAAGAAATTCTTGCGTAAAAAAGTAGCGCGTGAATGATTTAGAACGGCTGTATAGTCGGCCAAAATGCCACAAATTACTTTCGGTGAGGTGTATCGAACTGATGAACAATCGAAACATTTCAACAAAAGCTCGCCCCGACAAAAACTCTCCCTCGAATTCGTCTTCAACCCCTCCGAGACAACTCTGGCGTCTGATTGTCGGATGAAATGAAAATTTTTCGTACTTGTCGCAAAATTTGCCGCTATAAATCACACCGAAATATACAATAAATTTGTACAAACAACAATTTGGAATATTTATGAACAACTTTATTGCCTCGTGACGTTTTCCAGAATTATTATTTACAACCTATCGTCCAATTCAGTAACTCAATCTGTAACTCCATAAAGCAATAAAATTCAAGCCCGGTCAGTTATTGTAATAATGTGATAATAAAAAATATTTAGTTTTCCACCCCCTGCAGTAGGCTAGTGTCACTTTTATTGCTCGAAAAGTCCCGTATTTAGTAAACGCACCCGACAGGAGGGCCATCCCCCATAAATTTATTAGGGTCTCTCTATACACTAAAAATTTGTCATGTTTACGACCCGCACCAAGTTTACAGGAAATATTTCGAAATTACGGACCATTGTTTCAAATATATGGGGTAATTTACGAACAAAATTGTATAAAATTTTCTAGTTAAACCCATCAGGAGCCCCTGGAAACGGGTTATAAGTTGTCAATATGACTATAAAGGACTGGCAGCTCGGAAACATGTTTTCTCTTTAATTGGTTAATGAAATTTCGCAATTAATTCATTGTAATAAATAATCAATAACTGTAATCTGTCTTGGCTTCTAGTAGTCAATTAACTGATTTTTATCAACATACCAAGAGTGGTGTAACTGCTCTGTCATAATCCACTGTAAAAATTTTAGACATTTCTATTTAGATTTCAAGGTCACGATCTACTCTATTTTTGCTACCAGCAATTAGTGTTTGTTATTTTTGAACCCGAATACAAGGAATATTTGCTTGTACAAACACCAATACGGAGTCACAACACGTCAATAATGATAAATAGCCTCATTACTAGACACTTGCAGATGTGACAGTTTTGGAAGTGAACATGTGCGGCATTAGAGCAACAATGGATGGAATTAACTGGCGACCATTTGGACGTTATGATCGTTATTTCGTGATTCATTGCAGAAACTGCTGACGGCGCTAAATGAAAAATTATATAAAAGTCGTTTCAAATTGACAGTCTATTTGTTATTTCAGCGAATAAAGCAAACAAAATTGTAAAAAAAAATTCCAATTTTTGACAAAACTCAATTAGTAATAATGAACGTAGACGTACAATGCGCATCAAATCCGACGATTCCAGAGCCGGCATTAGTGCAGTTTCGTTATTAAAGTCATAAATTGCATGTTGGCTGCATTTGTCGGCCCGAGGGCACCGTACGTGACCTAAAAATGCACCGTCTGAAGATTTCGATCCGCGGTTTGAGGAGACTCCATCCAATTCCGTTGATAACACAGCCTTAATAGTCTCGTGACTGGAGCTCTGATATAAAAACGTCCTAATAAATCGTAATCGGCGAACTTTAAATAGGTACCCCGGATGAAAAATGAGATCAAATACAATCAATTCGCGGTTTTCGGTTCGAGGGTCGCACATTTATCAAGGCCCTAAGTGCCTCGACAGTGAAACAAATTTCCGCGATGCGGTGTGTGTGTGACAGTCCCTCGACCGGAAATATATATTTTTATTTTGAAGATTATTATTGATGGGTGAATGGAGAAATTAATGAAGTTTTGTGAGGATTAAGCAAGTGTAATGGTTGTTTTTGGTGTTTGCCAGCAAATGAAATATCCGGCTGAAAGCCGATAGCGCAAGCTTTATCGAAAACAGATGGTGTTAAATGAACTTATCCTCGAGCAAATGAAATTATAAGGTGGAGGCACAATTACAGAGTGTTACTTAAGCGGTTCCGTCGCTACTGCAAAAAGATCGAATCGATAGTGGCGATTGTTTCCTAAAGTATATAGTGTCTAAATAGGAGTGGACTAATCTGGCAATTTATCTGATTGAGGACGCCACGAGCTACCGGTTCCGTTATGACACGAAGAAGAAATTAATGAATATGGGCGAAAAAGTACCAGTGTGAAAATCGGACTCGAACCGAGGAGGAAGAAACTATAACAAAAACAAAACCGGTATAAAACATCACGTCCGAGACGGGAAAAATCATTACTGGACCCAACAGAGGTGAAAATTACGTTCTTCGTGAACGCTGCCAAATGCCCGGAGCGGATTTTACAACCCGAAATTTTCGGTATTCACTCATTCGAAGAAATTTTTTTCACATAATACTCACCATGAAACAATCGGGACCTTGCAAACACATTGACTCTCCATTAGGGCCGTCGTTCGAAAACTGCAACAAAAAATTAGTGTTTAAAATTGAGCAAAAGTGAAACTGAATCTTCCACGGAACAAGTCACCCGGAAAAAACCTTGTCTCATAAATATTTTATTGCCAGTTAAGTATGTAATTAGCGTCTCATAGCGCGCTCTTGTGATCGGATAAGAGCTAGAGCGCGGATTATCCAGATACCGATCTAAATGGTTTGAGATGCGTCGGGAGAAATCGTGATTACACCCAGAATTTGGAATCCCAGTTCTCTAAGCCAGCTTATACGAGCTTAGAACGAACTAGAGGGATTGTTTTGCTTGCCTAACACGAAACGTAATACCGAACAAACAACGACTTTCACGTATTCTTCCACGCTCAAGGTATTTGAAAAATCTCTACCTCTTACAATAAAAAACAAAACGTCTACAGGAATTTGACTATACAACTACGAAAAAATTCGACGAGGATTCGCTTTGAGCGCTGCTTCCGAACCGCAACACCTACGACACTCGGACCACTTCCATAAATATTCAAACGCCATAATAATACCTTAAATATTCATTACTTATTATAAACATGTCACATAAATAATCTTACATTTATTGGAAAAAGCAGACGGCTTCTGTAAACATATCCAGGCATTGCTCCCTAATTAATATCTGGGCCGTTCACTCACAAAACACTTTTATTGTCGATATAAACAACCAATCCATAGCTACATTTAAAGACCTAATCCCGTACTTTGTGTGTTTATAGTTCGCACAGAACAATAAAATCAAACAGAACTCCGCATTTATGTCTCATGATCATCCCTTTAAAAAATCTTTCCAAGGCAAGGCGTGAGTGAATCGAATTCGACTCGGAACGTCACGATTCGTAGTGGCTCTCCCCTATTATAATTAAACACGTCTGTGAGTTTAATCAGTGCCGAGATGCAATGTCCTCATCCTTTTCGTCGTGGTAGGTGTTTGTTGGTCGAACCATTAAAGCGATCGTTGCATGACCATCTACGATCGTACGCGCCATGTCATTGTCGTGAGAAGAGCTTTTAATTGTTTTTAGTGACTTTGCCGGTGCATAATTACACACCGACGAGGCTTAAAAATCTATATCACGTTCCGCGATTTTCACCGACATCTATTTATTCGCGGCGATTAGCCAGTGTTGTGCAAGGAAGAAATGTAATCGAATTATTTACTTGTAAGGACATAAATCGACCCCACGAGACTATTCCGAGGAAAACGAAACAAAAAGGACGCCTTCCTGTCACGCACTAGGTGGTAAAGGGTTTTCAATTGAAGAGTCTGAGTTTTTAGATCGACAAGTTTGTATGGTTTTTACGCGACATTAATGACCAAATGAAGATTTAAATGTGCCGATAATGGGCAATAGCATTCGCATCAATAAATTTTATTGACAAATTTCGGTTCAACTTTGTGCACAAAGCCGTCCTAGGCTTTTTTAACAGTTAAATCAGCTGTTTATGGGCTATATTTTGTGATTTTCAAGTTGTAAAACTATTTAATGTTTCGCTAGTAGCACTTCCGTTTCATATTAGTCAAGACTAATTAATAAATAACGTTGCCATTAAAACTGACGGAAAATATCACATCAGTAATGCAAACAATTCGACGACCACAGAGCCATAAATAGATTTACGATTTGGTTAATTTCGACAGTCCATTTAATATTACAAAATTATGACCTGAATATCGATTTGTATAGTAGTGTTTTAAAAGGATTTTGAAGCAGTTTTTATCCTTTGGCCCTTGGGACCGCTTGGAGAATTTGTAGTGTTTTAAAACTGGCTTAGATAGTGTCGACCCTCGAGCTGATAAACTGTTTCGATAAAGAAAGCGATGGGGACAGATTTTGGGGTCCGTCTGCGTATTTTGGTAAAATCGCTACCATCAATCAGTCATCGAGCGTTCGTTAGGGGGTGTCCTTTATGTGAGGGTAACTGACCGTGGTCTTAATTCGTTTTATCGCCGTGACTCACCTATGGATGCAGAGTTTCTGGCCCGGTGCCAGTTTAATATCGTGCGCCATGTGCATCCATCGAGAGTAAACAATCTGAGCAAGGCAAACGATCGGTGAGCGCGAACTTACATCAATATCGGCGGCGCGTCACAAGTGTTTATACTGCAGGGAACGAATTCGGCCGCTCGGGGATGCCCCTAACCGAATTACGTCGTCATGGCGACGATTTCGGTGCCCTAAAAATGGCCGGTGCTGCGAAAGGAATACGAGAAAACAAGCCGAACATGTGTTGTCTTTGTGTGCTGAGATATGGCGCGCGCCTCGGCATAATTCCCATTAAATGTTAAAGATACAAAGGAATGTCACACAATTTAACGTAAACATGCGCTACCATTTCAATGCGCTACCAAACTTTGTGTAAATTCGACAGCAAAGTACCGCGCGACGATGGCTTTATGTCGGACTCGCCACCGAACATCCTTTAATCTAAATTCCTTCGGTGGGAATTTCACGATGTTTGCAAAAAATCGATTGATGAGAAGCGATCCTTTGCCGAGGTAATGTTTTGGAAGTAGCAAGAGATCCTCAAACGGTTGCACTAACAAATCGCGTCTGCAGTACTATAGTTTAATGTGTTCACTTAACACCGCAACGACGCCATTCAACAGCGAAATGGCCGTCTTTATCTGGCCATTGTTGCGAAATGTCGGCAGTCCACTGCGGGAACAACGACTCCTCCAGACTTGAATAACTTTATATTTACAAGCAGGTGGCACGCAATGCGGTTATGACAAATACAAAATTTCTGATAAAGCCACAGGTTATCCTTACTGATAACAGCAAACATACTCCTGGGACCTGGAAGGATTCGAGGATCAGTATAACGAATAAACGGGGCCACAACCCCAACTTGCTTTATATATAAGCTATTCAAGAAATGCAAAATCAGAGCAGTGTACAGAAAGCCAAAAGTGGGTCAGAGTAATGAGAGAATCTTCTATTTATAAAAATGTAAATATTAGTGTGTTGTGCAAGATTTATGGTGGAGCGTTAGCAGTATTTTGTTGTGTAATAAATATGGCATCCCTTGTAGAGTCCCAGTTGTGAAGGCAATCTAAATATTAGAGTTCCCGGTGCTGGCCGAGTTGACCTCAGGAGTGAATATCAAATGTAAGTTGACCTCCGACATCTCACAGATATGAGACCTAGGCTAGATACGAGTCATTACCAATTCAAATATGTTGGCTGTTTGTTTAATGTAGCAAAGAGTGGACCGTGCAGAGTGCATTAGATGCACAGCTGCATGTTCGTTCCGAAACTGCTTTGATCTAATTAGAATTGTAACATAAGCGTTGGAGAGTATTTTTCGAATTAAAAACTGCCGCAATTTCCATCGATACAAAGCTTTTCATAACATCAAAGCTCAGTGGGAAATTATTTAACGAATTTAGCGCGGATATATGTATGCATTAGCACGTTATGTATGTCCGCATCAAATGCGGGTTAACTATAGGGAATCATCAAAGGGCCAGCGCGACAGATGCGAATTATCCTTTGTGTCCCACACACACACGACCAGATTTCACCCCGGGCCAAAAGCCCTCTCTCTGTTTACATATTATTGAGAAGTTCTGTATCAATTTGGATACATTACCAGCTTTTCCCCAAATAACGCTGCTTTGTCGCAAAAGGGATGAAACGTGCCACCAACGCTACACTGTTATGAAATTAATTTAACATCTTTCACAATAAACATCCGGTCAGATGTGCCAGATCGCGGCCTCCGGCGTTACATCATGCAAAATGCACATCTACACTATTAAAAACGCATTTGATCGGCCGAATAAGCGCTTATAGTGTTGAAACATTATTCACAACAGGTCTTTTTCTCGAGAAAAAAACACACAATCCGAGTCACATTAGTATTCATATTTCTCAATACATAATGGCCGGAATAGTTTGGGCGTGTAAAATGTCACCCTAATGAATTCCGCGACCAGCTGCGAAGCATTTTTATACATGACGCGTTTCGCTGCATAAATTTCGCGGAGAGAACTCGATGCAATATGTGTCGTGTGACATACCCACACGATGATCCTTCTTCCTTCTTCTCCTCATTATACCAACCGAAATTTCCACGTTACAACGGAATGCTTTGATCCTAACTGTATAAACAAACGTTGCCGGCAATAAAGATTTTATGAATTTGTTTTATATCACGCATCGCTTTCGTGTTGAAAGTGGCGTGAATTGAGCTTTTAGAACCCGGAATCAATTTTGGATTCTTTAAGAGAAAAGGGATCGGTGGCGGATGCGTTACATAAATTCACCACAGTAGGAGACGATACTGCCGCGCATATAATCGCTGCACTAACGAGCAAAAGATAATTTTCATGATGCAAATTATCGTCGGAGAGCTTGTTCAACATGTGTCAAGAGAAAGGGCAACTTACTGCCAACAAACATACTGAAACTTTGAAGATTTTTGCGTCTTGACATTTTCTTACAATAAATAATTAATTAATTAGTATTTGCAGAATGTAGATAAAAAGTTAAGAATGTCAGATGAAAAGGGATAAATAAAAGTCTTTGTAACTCGTCGCAATTTGATGTAAATTTATTCAAAAACAACAGTTTTCAATATTCAATCGATAGTAGAGATCGAGTTTTTATCATTCTGTAATAACAACTGTGGAGCGCAAAACGGAATGCAGTCAATAACACACTTCTATCTTTACACTGGAAGGTATTGACGCTTCGAGACGGCAAAATCCATAATTACAACTAATCATATTTTCAATAATGATACCACTGTAAGAGAAAATTATAATAAACGGTTTATAATTTCGAGTCGTTTTATTGATCAATTAATATACAAAACAAATTTCAATTTATGCAAATCAACACATTAGTCCGTATAAGAAATAGAGCGACAGTTAGACTATTAACCTTTGCTCCAATTCGCCCTTCACCTTCTTCCTGTAAAAAACGCAAATCTCCTTTCTCTGATTAATGTCAGGAGAAGAGCAGATGTCGAAATGT